TCTCCTTATAATTTTAAACGTGCATTCACAAGACAACCAATGCAAATGTTCCATGACACAATAACGTTTCCTTTTGGGTGTACCTTCATTAATAAGATGTAATAGCACTGTGATACAATGCATGGTATTGTTTGAAGCATAATGAAATGTGTATCACTACTACTCAACTCAATTAGACGACAAGAAAGGAAAATATTATCACGCCAATAATACTACACCATCGGAATGAACTACGATCAATATGTAGAAGCTAATGAACCTCCCCTTGAACAACGCCACATTAAACTTTCACTGCAGTATATCACTAAATTACATTCAAATAAGTCTCACCTCGATACATATCAACATTGATTATATACATTACTGAAATATACAAGTAAAATATATCGAGCCACCCACCACGGGGATATGAGAGACTACATTGCAGGTAAAAAAAACCAGGCACAAACGTGAGTACACAATGCCATATAGAAAGTGGTGAAATGTAACATATGTGATATTTTGGATTACACTTTCTTAGTGAAGTACAGATTCTAGTACTTTTGTTGGGTTGGGTGCCATCCATGATTCGAACCCACGCCCTCATAGTCAAACACCTAATCGCCATCACACAAAGTCAGCCGCCTGCTCGCTCAGCCACCGCGATTTCCACAAAAAGTGGAAAGTCGGACAACTGGTAGTCCAGACTGTGGACCGCTCCGATAAGTGTAAATTGGCACGGTTCCCATGGCCGAAAGCTATGATTACACAATGTCATTTAGAAAGTGGTCAAATGTAACATACGTCAGCCACCGCGACTTCCTACAAAAATGGAAGTCGGACAACTGGTAGTCTAGACTGCAATCATAGCTTTTGGCCGCAGTCTACATCTATATTATTCCGTCTTTTATTCCTAATATTGAGCGTTACAGTTCAACATTGCAACGTCTCGAGGCGGACCTTCACGGAGTTCTGGGCAACTACTTTGTACTGGTAGAAAAATATGTATTTGATTAATGGCCAATAGGATTTTGCATTCCATAGCCTATAACATAACAATTTCTCTCTTGTCAATATAATACATGTACTTACAAAATTAATTATTGTCACTTCGACCACAACCTCGCTTCCGAGGAAGAAATCGTTAAATTACAAGTCGTGTCATGCAAAAAACAATTTGTCATCAATCATATACATGTTTTACTACAACTGGTAAGTAGTATTGATTTTGTTTACTCCTTGAAATCGTCGAGAAATCAGCAAAATGACGAGCTTATTACACACTTTATATACAACTGACTGAAAGTCCTTCCTCACATAACGTCACTTCCGGTTCGCTGCAGTGCTCTGGCGACAGAATTACGTAACCTCTCTGTGGTTTCGTTGGTGGGCGAGAGTGAAGCAGACGGCTTTTTTTGGCAACTTTTCATCGCTCGGTATTAATTAACCACAAGTTTTTAAAGAATGAATTTGGTGTTCCGCTGAAGACCAACCACAAGTCTTTCATATGTAATTGTTAAAAGTGTACAAAAAAAAAGTTTATTCGTTTTTTAAGAAAACTGGTCCTGGAAGGACCGGAAAAGCTTACAAGCTCCTTGACGAAGGACGACCAGAACCTTTTTTTTGGACCCTACAGGACCCACATGGAGTCCTTTGCTCGTAATATTACTGAGGTTAGGCCCAATTCTTGTCACCTGTGAGGATTCCTGTTGCCATTGATCTTCAGCAACCCGTGCTTGTCGTAAGAGGCAATTAACGAGATCGGGTAGTCAGGCTCTCACTTCGTTGACACACGTCATCATACCCAAGTTGTGTAAATCGATGCTCAACATGTTGATCACTGGATTGTCTGGTCCAGGCTCGATTATTTACTGACCGCCGCCATATACTGAACACTTAATTTTCTTTGATAAAATGAGAACCATCCTGTGATGAGTGTTATTTTAGAATGTTAAACAGAGATGGCCATTACTGCCTATAGATTTGATTTCAAATGTATGAGATTACAAATGGTTAAGTTACCTATTAGAAAAAAAATGAAATTCAATCATGAGGGTTGACTATGTGTCGCTGTATAATGGACATAGAAATGTGATTGGTGTGTGATGCAATGTAATTAACTGACTTCCTTGTCAGAATTACAGGTCAAAATGTTAATATGAGTTTGACTTAAACAGACATGAGTATTCACAAAAAAATGATAATTGTTGACATCTTCATCATATTAAGAATACTCCTCACATCAACAAATGATTCTACAATGTTGTATATTGATTTAATAAATACGCCGTTAATAATCTGTAGTTTGTTTCAGCATATGAAAAACTTGATGAAGTTCTTCTAACAGTAGCGAGCATGAGCGAATCAAACAGAAATGTATGATGTTGATGTGTCAGCACACAATAAATCCGTGTTTCCAGAATTTGGATGTGGTGACCATGTTGGTGTTGGTTTGTTTTGTGTTTTTTTATGTTTTTTCGTTGTTTTTGTTTTGATGGGTTTTGGGGGTCTTCTTCTTTTTTGGGGGGTATTTGTTTTTGTTTTCCTTTTGTTTTGTGAAGTAGAAAAACAGCAATCAAACACAGTCACTATATCTGACATACTGTATGAGCTTATGGGGACGTCAGGTCAGAATATGTCACAACACTGCGGTCTTATCGGACACGACGTTGCATACATATGTTGGATTACATGACCCGGGAGATAGTAATAAATAAACGCTCCAACAATGTCATCTTAGTGCAATTATGGTAAACCTACCGGTGGCTAGTGAGTGTATTCATACGAACATAACCATAACACACATATATACTAGGCACATAAAGAAACTGTGCATACACAAATTTTAAATCTAAATTTATCAAACATGTGTAGACACATATGGATTTAAACTCAGAGATTAGGGACATGTATCCAACATGCATGCATGTGCCACGTTCCGTGGCGGCAGTGGATTCGTCCTTGAGACGTGCAATACGTTGTTGCACGTGCATTCCGGGAAAGAGAAACAGAGCAAATGAATGCCACACAATACTGTCACTTTGGAAAGCTCAACCCCTGCCCTTGCGATCGTTCAAAAAATTAACGGCTATTGAAACGCATAGCATGCCAAGGCTCACGTCTGCACAACGTGACAAGGCCAATGGGATGGTCCGTTGGGGAATGTCTCAACGACAAGTGGCTGCACATTTCCACTGCCACCGGAACACCATTTCTGCACTGGTGAGACGCTACCAGAAAACAAATGACGTCACCGATCGGCCACGTTCTGGACGTCGACGTGTAACAACGCCAAGACAGGACAGATGGATAAGGGTGACCCATCTTCGCCACAGGTTTCAGACTGCAGTGATGACTGTCCGAACCATCCCAGGACTTCGCCGTATCCACCCCAACAGATCTGACAACGTTTACGTCATCACGGGATCGAACCACGACGTCCCGCCATACGGCCTATCCTGACACAACGTCATCGACAAGCTCGCCGAATGTGGTGCCGAAATCATGTCCGCAGACCCGTGTTTTAGTTGAGAAATGTTGTTTTTACAGATGAGTCCAGGTTGAACATTTCCCAAAGTGATAGACGTCAACGTGCCTTTAGACGCGTGAGAGAACGTTATGCACAGGCCTGTGTCTTGGAGAGGAATCGCTTTGGTGGTGGTTCTGTGATGATTTGGGGTGGAATAAGAGCACGCCTGATTGTTCAGGGCAACTTAACTGGCGTGGGCTGCAGGGATCAGATTCTTCGACCTGTGGCAATTCCTTTTCTGCAAAAGGTTAACATTCCACATGGACAATGCCCGCCCTCATACGGCAAGGGTTGCTATGGATTCCTTGCAACACCACAACGTTAACTTACTGCCTTGGCCTGCAAATTCACCGGATCTCTCCCCGATAGAACATGTTTGGGACGAGATGGATCGACGTCTACGCCGTCTTCCTCATCCGCCAGATAACGTCCTTGACCTTGCAACAGAACTTGAGAGAATCTGGCGTGACATCCCACAAGCCTTCCTTGCACGTTTGATAGGCTGTTTGCGTCGTCGATGCACTGCTGTTCTCAATGCCGACGGTGGACATACCCGTTATTGAGCTTGTGACATGGTCGGTTGACCCCTGTCCCGCTTGTGGGCTCGTGACGTCATTGTGATTGACTTTTCAATTGAAATTCTCCCGACTTGTTATGGTCTCATGATCCCTCAATTAAAGTTTATATGTACCTTTGACATTGTTATCGTACTTATCAACTGGGATAATATTTTGACAATGCACAGTTTCTTTATGTGGCTAGTATGCATATACGTTTTGTAACAAATGCTATCATACAAAACATATAATTTATAACATACAACCTTCCCTTGTCTTATCACACATTAAAACCGTGTTATCAGGATTTGTATCTAGGATTTGTATCTAGTGACCTAAGAGACCTGGTCATAGCGGTGCTGGCACCTTTATCGTACACGATGATTCCTTTATAAAGGTCCAAACAATATCATCTTAGTACAATCATGGTAAAACTAACGGTGGCCGGTGAATGTAATGATACAAGGATACACGCAATATACATACATACACGTTATCGAGTGAGTGAGTGAGTTATTATTTAACGTCACATCGGCAATATTTCAGCCATATCGTAACGAGAACATATGTGACATTGAAATGGAAGATATGTATATTATAAAAACAGTAAAACAACTAGAATATCACAATTACAACTAAAACTAGTGTGGAAAATTAAAATTAATAGCACTATTTGGACAATACAATATAAAAACTGGCTATAGATCACCAACAACTGAAGGTAGATCACTACACGTTATCTAACATACTGTAACAAATGCTATCATACAAACAATTAATCATCGACTGTACATTCAACCTACCCTGGTCACACAGAATGGACTGGTCTATAACACCTTACCTACCCTGGTCACACATAATGGAGTGGTCTGTCATGTGAACTATAGTATAAATAAAACAGGTGACAACTGAACTGGTACAAGCTGACTGGACGAGAAGGTAACATGTCTTTGTCTGTTTTATTTTTGTGTCTCACTCTGCCACCGTCACTTACGGGTTTACTGTTATCGTTAACAAAGCCAGACGGCAGTATTGACACGCCCATGCTCGTACAACATATCAGCTTACTTGAACAAGCCGTAGCAAGTCTCAGGACCACAACATCAGACCTGACATCAGAGTTAGATGCAACCAAGAAGAACCTGACGGCGACTCAATCCGAGCTGCAAATCACAAAAAGTGATCTACAGACAACCAAGACAGAGCTTCAGATGAGCAAAGCGTCACACAATAACAGTATGTATGATCTGCTAGTGTTGAACTCTGAAATATGATTGGTTGGTTGGTTGTTTAACACCATACTCGGCAATATTTCAGCTATATGGAGAACATCCGGGTTAGAAACACACGAATGACATAAGAGGCAACTAACAGGCTCGGGGCCTTGGCTGAGTCATGTCATCCCAATTGCGTAGATCGATGCTCTTGATGTTGATGACTGGATTGTCTGGTCCTGGCCCATACGCAATTACTTACAAGCTATGTAGCTGGAATATTTTTGAGTGCGGCTTTAAAGAACATACAGCCAAAACATACCCAGTCTCAAGCACCAAAAGGCGTGGCAGGCTATTTTAGGACATAATGTTTCCAACTTTTATTTTAGTATGGCTCCTATGTTTTCTTCAAACAGCACCGGTGGCAAGAAACATTGCATTCCACGTATCAGCGCCGAACAGTGCCACGTCGGGAGTTCCACTTGTGTATCAGTCCATTCTCTACAATGCTGGGTCTGCTTACAACATCACTTCAGGGAAGTTCACAGCACCAGTCTCTGGAACGTACATGTTCTGGACACAGCTGGACATGAACCAGCAGCGCTCTTGGATGTATGTTAAAATCATGCAGTCAGGATACAACACAGCCGTTTCCGTTGGCCTCGCACAGACAGGTTCGGACGTGTATGAGTCTGACGCTACAGCTATTGTAGTCAACCACGTGGAAAAGGGCGAGCAAGTGTGGGTGGAACCAAATGCGTCCAAAGATATTGACAGTAATGATGGAACCTTTTTTGGTGGTGTTCTGGTGTCCGTGAATTCAAATTGACCTAATGAAATCATTGGCTGAGAATCCGCGATAGGATTGACTTCAATTGATTCGTTCTGTAGTCTACCAATTTATTTGCAAAACTACCTCTGCCTATCTTCAGGAGATGTTTGCCAATCAGTCTCTCCAAAAATTATACCATTAATGACACCATAGAAGACTCACCTCTCTCTCTCTCTGTTGTTCTTACGGATTAATATATCGATACATTCTGTATTTTGTCAGCTGAATAAAGTTATGTCCAATATCGAAAGAAGCACTAGGGGATCTGTAAGAACTGTTATAACGTTTCGTGATCTGTGTGTGAATACAAAAGTTTGGGGGGACGGATGGTCTCATGATGGAGACGAAGTCCCAGGATTGTCTGATCGTTTTCTTACGACTAGATATATTCACAAGAATCTGGTCAAATGTTTGCAGCCCCGTAGATCCTGGCTAAAAGTGGTCTTCCAGTGGAGATGTTTCTCTAGAGAGGTAATTAAATCGATATGTAGCCCACTCGTTGAAGTGACTGATGCATTTCTGGGTTCCACAACAAATCTAATCCACCATTTTACTCTACATTTGACATTCGTATGCGACCTTTACAAGGCGCAATCAACCGTCTGTTGTGCTGCCTATAGGAATGTTAATACAGCTACCTCTTTCTACTGAAAAGAAATCGTAAAAGTATTGTCCCAACCTCTGTCTGTTCATTAAATTGCAGTAGGTAAAACCAGAGCTGAATCTGACATTCAAAGAAATTAAACACTAATGAACATTTTACAATACCAATATGATCAATAACAAAGCACTTCTGACGCTCAGAAATCTATATTTTCAGATGGGTGCAAGGATAGTGACAGTTGCCTGCACCACTGTCACCATCTCATCCAGTTTACCTGATAATTGTTCCATTTTAAAGCTCCAAATTATATCAGTAATCGGTCAAAATGTAACCAGCTCCTGATATTTTCAGATTCCTTTTCGTGCATTAGACCTATAAAATATCTCATATGCACTTTTACTTGACATAGTTGAATTACATTAACGCTTTGTTACTGGCCAATACCACCTCGTGTTTTGTTGGTTAGCCAGCCGTGTTTGAATTACTGATAACACAATGACCGATTCTGGCAGCGCCACTTCTGATACAACATACTGATGCAAGACGGGTATTAAATATTAACAGAGATCTGATGTGAAGGAAATGGCGCATACAGTTAGGTCACATGAAACTGAACCAAGATCATGTTGCATCTAGAAGTAGTCGACATACAACAACATCCCATTGTCCAATGATGATTCACTCCGTTTTGTATTCCTTGTGAGTTGCGAACAAGCTTTCTGTCACAAGGAGAGAGCGAATGAGTTGAGATTTACAGACACATCGGAAATATTTCAGTCATATCGTAACTAAATGATATTATACATTCATGATTCAGCTCCCGTTGTCCATTAGATAAATCTTTATTGTATAATCATTTTAAAAGCTTGTTCACAACCCAAAATCCACTTGATGATACCATTGAGAATGATGTTTTCAGTCCTGGTGTAAATATTCCTTTAAATGACATTGATCGCTGTATTCTTGAGTCTGCTATCACTGATGAGGAAATAAGTTCATGTCTTTTTCATCTTAGAAATGGCAAGTCAGCTTGTATTGATGGTGCAATGCGAACTGTTCATCTATACATAGTATTATGCTTTTTTAAAGATATTGTTTAATAGTATTTTTAACACAGGTGTTTTTCCCATGGCTTGGACGAAGGCAATAGTTATTCCTTTACATAAAAAGGGTGATCGCAAAAACCCAGATAATTACAGGCGGATATTTTTATTGTGTATATTAAGAAAATTATATACATCTAATTTAAATGTCCGTATCACGAACTGGGCAAATATATGGAGCAAAGTTCCCGAAACACAAGCAGGCTTTAGACAAGGGTACTCTACGATTGATCATATTTTTACTTCGCATGGTGTTATAGAAAAATGTCTAAGTAAGAAAAGGAAAAGGTTATATGTTGCTTTTATTGATTTTAGAAAAGCCTTTGATTCAATTGACCGTTCTAAGTTATATAAGCGCTTATTCAAATCTGGTTTACATGGGAAAATGCTAACTGCTATAATGAGTATTTACAGCTCGGTAACAGCTTGTGTTAGAAGTGATAACGGATATACTGAGTATTTTGACTGTTCAATTGGTTTAAAGCAAGGATGTGTTCTTAGTCCTTTTTTTTTTTCCTTTTTCATTAGTGAATTATCAGACGACATATCTAGATATGGTAAATATGGAGTGCAGTTATTTCCAGACATATTGGAAATCATGTTACTTATGTTTGCAGATGATGTTGTCCTTATATCTGACGCAATTCCAGGCTTACAGAATCAACTTAATATTCTACATAATTACACTGAATATTCAGGTCTAAAAGTAAATTTTGGCAAGAAAAATATTGTTGTTTTTAGAAGGGGAGGGCGCTTAGGAAGAAATCAAAAGTGTTTTGTCCAATGGCCAACTAATAACAACATTAAATACTTATAAACATTTGGGAGTTTTATTTTCGTGAACATTTAAGATAAGAAATTGCATCAATGATTTAGCACTGAGGGGTAAGCGGGCTTTAATGGAAGTAATAAGTAATTTAAATGGAATTGGAATAGTAGACCCCAGTGTGTATTTTAAAATATTTGATGCGCAGATACAGCTGATATTACTGTATGGGGCAGAAATCTGGTGAATACATAAAGTTTATGAAATAGAAAAGGTTCATCTAACAGCTTGCAAACCTTTCTTGAATGTCAGCCCTCAAACACCTACTGCTATTGTATATGGCGAGTGTGGAAGATATCCTATCTTTATAAACGCATTGTGTAAAACTTTAAAATATTGGTTAAAGGTTATTCATATGCATGAAGATAGAACTCCTTTGAAAGTGTATAAAAATGCAAATGTATTACGATAACTGTGGATATAAGACATATGCTTCACATATTAGAGAAATACATTTCTCACATGGATATAGTTACGTCTGGATGTCTCAGACAGTTGGTGATGCAGCTTTATTTGTAAATAGATTCAAGACTGTTGCAATCAATATGGTTTTTCAATCATGGAATTGTACATTGAATAACAGTTCACGATACCGTATTTACCGAGAGTTTAAAAGTCTGTTAACTCCAGAAAAATATTTATCATGTATCTTGAACAAAACGTTTCGAAATATGTTGATGAAATTTAGATGTGGGTTATTAAGGTTAAAGTATAATGAGGGAAGATGGTTAAATGTTGAGGTTGCAGAACGTAATTGTCCATTGTGTAAGCTGGGTGTGGAAGATGAATATCATTCTATTTTAATATGTACTAAATATAACTCCCTTAGATTAAAATACTTGCCATATGTATATCAGAAATAACCAAACTACTATAAATGTAAGTCCCTGTTATCAACAAATAATGAAACACTTAAGAAATTTATGTAAATATATCTTTTCATGCAATCAAACTCCAATAATTTTTCTTTAAACCACAGATTTGTCCATTTTAAATGTTTATAAAAGGTGTGTATATATGTTTATATCTAATATTATACTTATACTGACAAGAAATCTATTTGAACAAATAACACGTGTATTATTGATATGTATGCCCTTCAAAGTGTATCTACATTTGTAAACAAATGTATGTATGTTGTATATGGGCCTGTGGCCTACATACGTAGTAATAAATACTTGACTTGACTTGATAAAAGTAGTTAAATTATATAAAAGAAAAAAACCTGTCGATGAAGGATAGTAAAAGTAAAAACAACAATTTCGTTTGCAGACCTAACGATGCCATGAGAATATCAGAAAAAAATCCTTCGTAGATGATGATTAGAAATATTGATCCTGTACGATCAATACAGTCAAGCAGAATATGATTCCTTCATCACATGTGTACAAAATGGAGTATCCTCACCTTTCAATATATATTCATGTGTATATCTTTAATGACCAATACGACATCGTCGCATAACGACCTCTTCAAATCTGGACTTGCATCCCAAGTCAGTGTAACCGATAGTAGGTTGTATTTCATAGAGTTTATTTATGCCTACTTGGATGTCCCACTTCTTTTGCATTATAGCCTCGATGTGACATCTGTGGTGAGGTTAATGATCGCTGTATGGGAGTTCAGGTGGTGTCACGGATTAATTGAGTGCTGATTTAGCTGCAGGATCTGCCTCTGTGTTACCAGTAATTCCAACATGGGTGGGTAACCCCCAAAATAACCATGTCGTGTTTGCCAGTAGCAAGAAAATTATGTAATTCCATACTTTGAAGTAAACTTGGATGTGATCATGGCATGTTTTACTAGCTTGAGGGCATGACAGATAATCAGAAAATATTATGACTTTCTTATAATTTGACCGATTTCTGCTATGTTTTAGAGTTGTTAAAATGGCATTAGCTTCTGCTTTGAAAATGGAACAGTTCTCGGGTAATCTTAATGAGATCCATCTGTAAATAGTGATTTGTAAGTGTTTTAGCGTTTCTCAACAGATTTTACTCTTGTGATAAATTCTTTGCGTTAGTTGCGTTCTAGTTGCGTTAGGAGAAGACAAAAGCTGCGTTTGGGGCTATATTTTCCAGATTTTTTGGTAGCCGAAAGATATATCTGTTTTCGTATGGGACAGGGAAGATTTAAGTCATATAATAAACATTTATAAATACCTGCATTTCCATGTTGTGTGCGTATGTTGTTGTTTTATATATGTATGAGGTGGCCGCTACATGCACTGATGCGTCTAAAATAGGGCGTCCTGGTTGTATGTCAAAACTGATGAATCAGTTCAATCTGTTTTGAAAAATCTAAGAATTAAATGACGGGGCTGATGTCGGTTAAAAGATCCTTCCTTGCCATTGAGCATTTTTGAATTATTGATCCCTTGTGAAGGACAATCAATAGTTATTGCTTGACTGTGATTCTTTGGGGGCATATTTGGGCATTTTGCTGTGAACCCACTCATCCAATTGACGAC